GCTAGAGAAGTTAATGGAGTTCCTCATCCACTAGCCTTGGATAGTGGTGTTCCAAGTCATTAGCATATTCTCTGTTTTTGGCAAGATCCCCTGAGTAGGACTAGGCTTCCAAACAGTCACAGCCAGGATTAGCAGTGGCAGCACTCTCTGGCTTCCACATCAATGACCAGAGCTCTCAGATCTAGCAGATTGGTGGCTGCTTGTAACACTGAAGCCTTGAGTCCAAAGAAAGGGACCCATTAAGTACTGTGAATTAATTACATATTCTTTATTCTTTCACAAGTCCTGGTTTTATGAAGGGCTCTTACAATATCTGGCACTGATTTAGGCACTAAATGGCCCTACATCTGAGTCTTAGTGTAGCAATTCAAAGAGCTATTCAATCCTCTGTTACAGCCAAATCTCTTGCCAACAGACCTACATCTTGACAACATTATGTACCTTTCAGCATATAGAGTTGGGCAATTCCTGGGAATATATGAAAGCAAAAAATACAGATACAGACAGAGCTATAGGGAAATAACAGATAAATATATCCAAAAGGCAACGACACATGTAGGGTGTAGATACTTTTTTTTTTTAAATCACAAATAGGAGATTCTGGATACATTAGAGAGTTTGAGTTTTTCATTTTTAAAGGGTTGTAAAAGTGGTAATATCTTACAAGAAAAAATTTAAATAGAGCAACTGTGACCAAAATTATTAAAAGTACATCACTTCTCTATAAATTCACAAAGTTTAAGCTTTTCCAGCTATTTCCAAACATTTTATGTTTTAATTGGCTTCCCAAGTGAATATCTTAGAGTCTACAAGTTACATCCACTTAATCCTGTATTGATTTTCTAAGATGTTTCCTGTTACTATAACTACTCTAATCAATTAACTTCTTGTAAGTAGCAGGACAATTTTCTCTTTCCTTTTCTTTCCAATGAAGCCTGAATACTTTATTCCACAAAAATATCTGTTGTTGCCTCTTATCTATCAAGGAACTACATTTTGTTGGTAAAAATGTTTGATGCTTTTCATTTTAAAAAATGTTTGAATATTGTGCGCAGAAAAAGCATACAGAATTTCCTCAAACTATTATGATGAGTGGCTTACAAATTTTGGGTTGTGTTGATGTAAGTTCTCTTTGGCTATCAGGAAAGTGTCTTTCCCTTGGCCTCAACCACGGGCAACTGGAAGGCCGGCAGTCACTCAAGGGGAAAAAATTGTTCTGCCACATGGTGTCAAAAAAAAAAAAAAAGCCAAACCAGTTAACATTGCTTTGTTTATCCCAATAAACAATTGTCACCTGTATTAACATGTGAGAATTTGGCATGGGGGAGAAAAGTTACTCTAAACTGAGCTCCCCACTCTTTCTCAGGCACAGCCCTGTAAACAAGATTCAGAAAAGGCATTGGTCTCTGCAGTCACCTAACCTGGACTCAAGCCTTGATGTCACTTGACAAAATCTGGTGTCAAACTCCCTGAAGTTTCATTTCCTGTCCTACAAAATGAAATCACTATATTATCTCCAGGATAGTTTAGGGGTTCTCTAGATCTAACCCCTCCCTCCTTTGATACAAGCCCATTATCCTACCCAAGAGATCTTCCTAAAGCAAAAGAGTGACCAGGTCACTTTCTTATCCAAAATCTCCCATGTCTGAGAACACAGGCCAAACCACACAGCATACCATCCTCTACCCCATGAAGCCAAGGCTCAGCCTGCTTTTCTCTGCTCTTTTCTGGTCATTCACCTTAATTCATTTCTCATTCCAACCATATCAAAACAGATGTATCATGTACTTTCAACCCCTTGTAGCTGTATGTTTCTTCAAAAGCACTTCTCAAAAGTTTCCCTGCCCAAAATGCTTTTGCTGTCCTTACAACTTAGCATACTCTTGCTCAACCCTCAAGGCCTAGGACACCTCCACAAAACCACCTCTCCCACGGCGCCTGGAGCTTCTCTGCGAAGAACAAAGATTAATTTTCACTAGATGAAACAATTTCATTATTGCCTGGCTTCCAACATGAAAAAAATATTTTATTTGGCATCTAACATGTACATATCTACATGATATTTAACCACATAGTGAAGTGATTTTTAAAAATGCAATCTGAGCACTGGCCAGTTTGGCTCAGAGGTTGGAGCATCGGTCTGTGGACCAGAGAGTCCCGGGTTTGGTTCCCGCTACAGGCACGTTCCAAAAACAAACAAACAAACAAACAAAAAACAATGCAATCTGTGTATGTACAATCTGAGCACTAAAAGCAAAATATGAGATGACTAGATTCTCAAAGTCAATTAACTTTGTCTTCACAGTCTAAGTAGTCACTGAATTGTGAGAAAACCAGCACATATGCAGAAAAATACAGCACCAGAAAAAAATAGCTCATGCACATTGATTACTTAGATCATTGGTATCACCTGCTACGTGCAAGATGTATCATTTCTAATATAATACTTTACATTTTGTGCAAATGAATAGATTGAGATTCAAGCAAGTTCAGGAATTTTCCCAAGTATTTGATATGTGGCAGGACTGTCATCCAAACCCAGATCTGTCTGCCTCTAAAGCCCATTTTATTTTTACCTTTCTCCATTATATCTCTATTGACCTTGTACTGTGATCACCAGTGGATCTTCTACAATGGTCTACATGTCTTTATCAAAGGTATCAAGTGCCATCTCTAGCCAAGTTACTCAAAATACTATTTTGCTGAGGCAAAAGGGATTAGTATTTGCAGACAGAGAGGTTATGCAATAACTTCAAGAGGAAGAAAGATGGGGCCTCTTCAAAATAGTTCCATACCATTAATAATACATATCAAGCAAGTTTCTTCCCTGGCACTAGACCCATCTTCAGCCCTTCTTATTCTTGGTTCAACTCCCTATAATATTTTTTATGCTTGCTTAAGTAAAAGGAACATATAGGAGAATTATGACATAATATAAACCATCACTGAGTTATTAAAAATATTCTCAAATCAAAAATAGTAAAAATAAATAAATATATTATCACGTCTCAATTTCCCTGACTGGGTTAATTGGAGGTTGCTTATTATGGTGGTGACGGTGGTCTTGGATGATGGTATTAGCTGTGATTAGTGACAGAACATTGCGTATATCTTCAATTGAAATGTTTTATCACCTTATGTCAATCTCAAAAATAAGTTTATTCATGCTCTTCATGGAACACATCAATGCATTTCTCACATGGTAAATGCAAAATAAACAGAGACTTGATTAGAAAAGTCAGAAATGTCACGTCTCTAAAGGACTAAATATGAAGTTATGCATGCTACAATAAAATATTTCAGCATATTTCATAATCCTACTCAGAATTACCATTGTTTTAGATATAGTACAGACAGAGACATAGACACATATAGACATAGATATAGAGCATTTAATAAATCAATTTGAACTGAAGAAAACATTGAGTTTAAAGGTTAATAACATGTCAAATTTATTGATATAAAGAGCTCACTTATTTTAAGTGGCTTCCCAACCAACAAACAGGAGGCATCAAACCCTGCTTACTCAGTCTGGGCCCTGGGAGAAAGAAAAGGAGACTCAAACACTAACGGGGAAGAGACAGGACAGCCAGCACAGGTCTCTGCAGGGCGGGACCATTTCCCTCCTGCACAAGCACAGAGGACCTCTTTCAGTCTGACTGTAGCTCCTGTCATGCTGACACCTTGCCCTTGAAGTTCTGATAGTGGCCATGGCTAATAGGGAAGCTCCCAAACATGTCTGAATTTTCAGTTTTTTCTCCTACAATGACTGCTCACCTTACTACTGAATGTTTCCATACAGTGTATAAGTTGGCAAACAACAAGGCACTGAGTCAATCCTTGAAGTGTTTTTTTTTTTAAGTTTCTTAGGAATAATAGTTCTCCAGTCCTTCATGCAGCTAAAGACTAGTCTACCTCTAGTGCAAAGAGAAGACACAAGTTAAATAGTGATAACAATTCTAAAAAGCTAGGTTACCATCCTGTGTTAAGTTACATGGTTGATGGTAACCAAATTTCTTTACAAAATAAAGAACACTTTGTACATTGTTAGAAATAGGGCACATTCTGCATGATATACACATTTCCAAATAGGCATTTTTCTGTGCACTTTTCCAACCTTCTTAACTGTCTCTATGGAGTTTATTTAAAAAAGAAAAGAAACTGTTGTTCAAGGGTGACTAACAAAAAGCAAATCAGGAAACCTGTATCAGAAAAAGCCAAGGCACAGAAAAAGAATCAGTGTCCTATTCAGAGGCAAAACTCAAAGTGTGAATTCAATTTGGTTAAGCTGTCCTGCTGCCCAGAGATATGGCTCGTATTTAGAGAGTAATCAGCCGACAGCTAATTATGACATACCACTAAACAATAATTGATTTTCCGTTTTATAATTCCCAGACAGTCAAATGTCATTCACTGGAACATGCACCATTCCTATATAAATTCTATGTGACAGCCCTCCCACACAAAAAAAGAACAAAACCCCCAATTAAGTCTAGAAAAAATAATTCAAAGCAGTGATTCCATTGCTTAGAGATCAAAACATATTGATTGACTTTCCAACAGTTTTTCAGAAAACATGAAGCTATTGCCCATCATATCCCAAATTTACCAGGTTAAATGAAATAATGAAGCAAACCTTTAACTAATTAACTATTATACACAGAAAAGGAAAAAGAAACAAAATAAACCTAAATAGTTAATAATTAAAATTCAAAAGATGTTGCTTGTTCTGATTATCATAAAAATCTCAGGTTGTCACCGATATATATGTTCAGGCATAGTGAGGGTTTGTGTCACCTGTTACAAATTCTCATCTATTAAAAGGCCCACATCCTCAGTTCTCCTTTGAAAATCCTTTGTCCAGTTAGTGTTTTAACATTTGTGCTCGAAAACTATATAAAAGGTTTTTTTATTCATTAAGTAAGACATTTAGTTATTCTGATAGATTAGATAAGGCAAACATGGGAGGCCCAGAAAGTGGGTAATTTGTAAATCTTTACCTGAAGGCCTTCGATAGCCAATCGCAGCATGCTGGGTGTAAGTTTAGAGGCTTGCTTGAAGGTGAAGTTACTCCAGTCTATGATCAGAACAAATCCATTCACTTGAAGCTCAGGATCTTCAATCATGGCTTCCAAAGACAGCAAGATGGCCCGTAAAATATCCACCAGTGTGTACCTATCAGCAACAGAAAAGTCTTCATTAAATCTGGCAACCACTTTTGTAGAAACCATAGAAAGTTTTTAGCACACTGAAAACTCCTCTAAGAAATCTTAAGGAGATGAATTTGCTTTAAAAGTATTCTTTTAAGGGGAACTTGATTTGCAGCACACACAGGACAAATTAGAATTCAACATGTATTCTATTGAAAAACACTATAATAGTTTGGAAAATACTACTTTTCTTTGTATTTCACAACCATTGACTTTACCTCTAAGCCTTACTATTATTTTCTAAAATATAATTTTAACTACTCTGAAAATTAGGCATACTACTTTTAAGTAGCTCAGGAATGTTCTCAGTAATACTGACATTTTATATGTATATATTTGAAAAATTTCAGAATGATATTTGAGGAGTCTGATCAATAAACAAGAACAGTATGTGAACAACTGTGGGGGAACGTGTCAACCGATTTTAATTACTTGTATGGAGTTTGCATCATAAGGGCAAAAGAAAAGACAGAAGAAAAAGTGTACAAACAGAAATTGAGGAAGGTCAATGAGTGTAAAGGGGGAATTTAACTGCTATCATAATGCAGGCCTTCCAGATTGAGGGACTGAGTCTCTATCTTGCACCTTAGCACTGTGCATGGCACATTGTAAAATCAATAAATGCTTTTCCATTCCTATAAAATGGACTAGACTACACAAAGACACTCTGTGGATGGAGACGCTGGCTTGCAAAAGCCGTGGAGGTAAGGATGGAGATTAGAACACAATTCTGAGAAGTACTTCAGAAGTAAATTTGTAAAAACGTGACACTTAATTCGATGTGAGGACTAAAATGAGGGAAAAGTAAAAGATGACACAGATTCTAGCTTCAAAGCCTGGATAAAGAATATACTGCACAAAGAAGATACATTTGGAGATGGCTGGAAATGACGAGTTTGGAATAGAATTCATTGTATCTGAGAAACACATAGTACAACCGGTTAATGGAATTAAATATCTGAAAAAGCAGATCTTAAACTCAAGAGAGAGCTCAAGTTTGAAAATTTCAGAATCAAAAGCCTACAGATCCTAAACTCAAGCAAGTGAAGGAGGTAATGCAGCCAGAGCTGAGATAAAAGTGAGATAATTATTCTAAGAAGAGAGTTCCAGTATTTTAAGAAGAATCAGCAAAATTATGGAATTTGTTAACCATGTCCATTTTTGAGCATTCTGCATCTCAAGGTGTTGTTGTTGTTTTTATCTCCTCAGACATTTGAGTGAGATGTTCAATAGAAGCTACAGGAAGAGGTGGGATGAGGAAGGTGGTGGATTAGACGTAGAAATCACTGGAATTTAGTGGAAGTGACAGGCTGACTTCCACTAAATGTCCACTCACAGTATGAGAAAGTGAGTACATATGAGGGTGCCATTCTATCTTTATTTCTAAAAACATTTGGAGGCAAATGGAGAAAGCATAGTGGTACAGAAAGGAAGGAAACATTAACGATAAAAATCCAGGTGACTTCTCACTATCTCTGGGCCTCATTTCTTTATCTGCAAAATTAGTATAGTAGTGTGGAATGAATCTCTCTTAGATCCCTGTCTGTGATGTCCGATTTTGAGATGAATTTCTTCCCTGTCTCTCATTAGCTGTGTGACTCTGGATGTACTCAACAGGATGTTATCAGAAATAAAGAATATTTGTTTTTATCTTTTACTTGAAATTTTAATGGTGATCTTTTGTTAAAAGCAAAAATCAATGGGTTCTTTTTAAATCTTTGAGTGGTATATAGGCGATTTATAACTCTAAGGTTATGGCATTCTAAAATACTTTCTAAATATTTAAGATAATTAAACTTTTGGTAGAACTCTATTACTTATTTGTCTTTAAATCTATGAAATATGTATGCCTGGATATCTATCTGTCACTTCATGGCTGGCCAAACCACCTTTTAAAAATAATTACCTAACACAGTGTTATGACCAAAAGCCTATAAACCTACACAGACTGGGAATAAAGCTATATTTTTGGTTAAAATGTCGAGTCTTCTCTTAAAAAAAAAAATCCATTTAAATTTTTGATGTTAATAATAATATCATGGTAAAGAAAATTAAAAATTTGAAAAGTTCAACCTAAGAATGTTTCCTTATTATGATCATTTTTGTTACCTATAAAAACACCACTTAGTATTAATGCCAAAATAGCATTAAGTAAAATTTGAATCTGAAATAAGTTTTGGAAGAATGATGTATTGTATATAGAAAGAATAAATCAAGCCCTGGCCGGTTTGGCTCAGCGGTTAGAGCGTCGGCCTGCGGTCCTGAGAGACCCAGGTTTGGTTCCCGCTAAGGGCGCGTACCTCGGTTGCAGTTTGTCCCCGGCCCTGGTCGGTTGTGCGGGTGGCAGCCACTCGATAGTGTTCCTTCCACATCGATGTTTCTCTCTCTCTCTCTGTTCCTCTCTCTCCCTCCCACTCTACCTGATCAAAAAATGGAAAAATGTCCTCAGGTGAGGATAAAAAAAAAAAGAAAGAATAAATCATGACACCAGTAAGGGCTGAAAATAAGAGGCAATTTGTTTTAAGTAACACATTTTAAATATGGCTCTATAAAAGTGTGTCTACATCAAGACAAAATTTATATGTATATTATTATTCCAAAGGAATTAAAATAAGACAAATCTTAGTATCAGCAATGAGGGGGCAGGGAGCAGGTTTGCAATGTTTTCCAGAGTAAATCTCTCCAAGTTTTAAAACTTGATATCTTGCTCCAAAAAAAATAAAAGTAAATGATATTTATATAAATCATATTAATGTATACATTTAAGAAAAGAAACATAAAACATCCTAGCTGACTGCACTCAAAGGGCAGGTCAAAACCTCTCTTGACAGTGCAGTCCTCTGTTGTCAAACATGTCACATTACTACCATTAGCAGCTCAGCAGGCTATTCCTAAGCAGAACATTGTTAAAAGAAATCTTGCTAAAGTCTGTAAAATATCTTCCAAATAAATGGAGCATTTTTTGTATTTTATCTCTTCAGGAATCCTACCACAATTCTACTCTTTGAAATTATTTTTACTGTTATAATTTCTAATGTGTCAGTACAATAAGCATTGCACACGTTCCTGCTTGGAGTTTACACCCCAGTTTGTAAAAGTTCCACCATTGCTATTCTCCCCTTGTGTGCTGGAAAAAAGCCATAGCTAACAAACTAGCACATTTATACCGATCTTGCTTCCCAAAATAGCATTAGGTAAAGCCTGAATATGAACTCAACTTGGAGAGGATGATGAGTAGCATGGAGTAAGAAATAATGACACCAGTTAAGGGGTTTTACAAGAGGGACACCAGTCTATGTAGACCTTGGCTCTTGAAATCAAAGCTGTTATATAATACATAAAAACTAGATGGAAAAGCCTTTCACACCCATTTCTGCTATTTACTACCTGTACAATCAAGAGCAGGGAAGTGTCTTCTCCTGCCTTCGCCATGAAGGTGTCTACCTGTCTTGTGCTTTTGTCCCGTGGGTCCCAGCATCTCATCCTCTACCACAGCTGACAATCAGTGCAACCTAAATTTCTAACAGGTCATTTTTTTCCTACTTTCCAACCCTTTCTTTCAGCCTGACAGGGAAAAACTGGCATCTTGGCATCACATGGAGCAGCACAACAGCAAGCAATTTCCCTTTGTCACTAAACCAATCAGCCATTATTAAATTCTTCATTAAGGCTGCCCCTCCCGTCAGCTTTCATTAAGCCAGATCTGAAGCATTTCCTGTTAGAAAGGCGCTAGGAGAGAGACAAAGGAGAAGAATTACCTGTATTAATACCTCGAGGTATCATTAGTGCTAAAGTTGAACCCATCTACGTGTGTTATATTACTGAGGAGAAATAATAGTAATACCCCTATCTGTGTAATAGTTTAGGATTTCCAAAGGAATTTCAAATGCATTATCTTAATCTCAAAACAAGCCCAAAGTCTCAGTGCTGGCTTTGATCCTATTATTTTGGACATGAGGACACAGATGAGGTCTCAGCAAAATGTAGAGATGAAGACACAGGTGTCAGAGAATTTAAACAGTTTGCCCAGAATCTCCACAGAGTAAAAGGGCAACCTAGATGAGAAGCCAGCTCTTTCTGACATCACAGTTCTCTCCGCCCCCTATGGTGCCTCACACCTAGAACAGAGTGTGATGAATAGTTGTTCTGCTTTTCCATATCTCAGTGGCCTAATGTGTGTCAAAAGATAGATCATAAAGTCAATACCAAAATGGTGCCATACAGGTACCAGAACACATCCCAGCCTGGTCCCAACAGGGGGCTTTGATGGAGGAAAATCAAGGAAACATTCAAAGAACTTTGCATGGGAAGAGGCTAAGTCTACACACCCTGGAGAAAATATGAACTCCGAAACATTCCTGTGTCCGAAACACAGAAGATTGTTTGTCTGGGCCTTGCTTTAGTTTTACTGCTACAGGAATGTAGGTAAGTGAGAACAAAAGATGTTTTGTTGAAAATAAAACATCTAGAGAAAAAATGTCTTTTCTTGAAAACAGGTTTAAGAAGTGTGCACTGCTGCCACCAAAAAAAAATAAAACAATTGTGCAGGCAATACACAAACACATCAGGGAGGCAACTCTTCTTTTCAGGAAAGAACACTCTAAGCAAGTGTCTAGTTAGTACAGTCTTTCCCTTCAGAAGATTTATTCTAGCAACTTAACTTTCGGTGCCTAATAGTCTATATCATGATGTTGAATCAAGACTTTCTAAACCATAAATGATTTTTTAAATGATCAGAGTTTATTTATAATTATATTTAGTTATTTTTTTGTAGATTTATTTGGTTGTCTTTACACACACACAAAGTTTGACCAATTCATTGTTTGCAGGTGAAATACTTAACTGTTCTATGCCTCTCTTTCTTCATGTGCAAAATGTAAACATTAACAGGACTTACTTCGTATGATTGTGCTAAAGATTTAATAAGTTAATGTTTGTTAAGTGCTTAAAAAAGCACCTGACATA